TATGATACATCATACAAAAATAAATATAACCCAAAATTTTCGCCCTTCTACCACCAACCCCTATTTTTTATGGCGGTACGATGTTCGCTGGGACAGCTAGTCTAATATATAAAATTCTCGTGTCACGGTGTGCGTAATTGAACCACTCCGAAACGGCTCAACCGATTTTCGTAAAATTTTATATGCATATTCAGTAGGTCTAAGAATCGGACAACATCTACTTTTCATCCCCCTAATTATTAAGGGTGGTCCGGTCCACCCTTAATTTTTTTTTGACAAAATTTTTTGTTTTTATTTTTTTATGATACATCATACAAAAATACATACGAACCTAAATTTTTACCCCTCTACCACCAACTCTTATTTTTATGATGGTACGAAGTTCGCTGGGCCAGCTTAAGCCGTTGGTCCCGGCTGCATCTGCAGTCGTTAGCACCCACCAATCCGCACTGGGCCCGCGTGGTGGTTCATGGCCCAATCTCCCTATTCCATCCATAGGGAAGGCCTGTGCCCCATCAGTGGGGACATTAATAGGCTGATGATGAAGGTTCCAGTGCTCTACGAAGAAGGGAATTGGTCCAGGTCAGGCAGTGGTGCGAGCGATGGTTTTGGTATTACAAGCGTCTATATGCTATGGTGGCCCCTTACTAACAGGAAGTCATATGCTTGTCTGCTACCTTTTTAACATAACAAACAATACAATAAAATACACAATTCTTTATTGACAACACCACAGTACACTACATAAATGGGATAAATACATTATGTTTAAACATAGTGATTCAATGGGCGGTCTTATCGCTAAAAGCGATTTCTTCCAGATAACCTTTGGATGGAGAGGATTGAAAGAAACTGGAGTGGACACCCACAATCGCAAGCTGAACACTCTTACCAAAGCACTATCAAGTCCCACAAGCAAGCAGAAAAATGTCATGCAATAAAACAAAGTCGAATGCACTTGTTTGACATTACCACAGGATGTAATACAAATACGCAACCAACACTTTTCTTTCCTGTCACAATGCTCTTTACAATACACAATCATTAAGCTTAGTTTCCGTGAATTAATATTATTATTATTTACAATAATAATTCTTCTTCCACACAAAAGTTGTATTTTTTTGCCATTTTTTAATAATGCCTAATTTTGTATGGATGTTATCAGAAATGTGTATAATCTGGCATTCTATACAATAAAAATAAATAAATAAATATTTCCAACACTCACACCAATTAGCCTAGCCCCAAAGTAAGTTCTGTAAGGCTTATGTTATGGGATAATTAGGGTAATGGATAGAATACATATGCAGTACATATATAAGTCTATTTATATAGAAATTCATATTAAACATCCATGACTTGGAGTACAAATGCTCGTATTCATCACACTAACATCTGCCCCCACCGGGATTCGAACCCGGGACCTCTCGAGTCGGCGACACCATGAAACCCGGCGTACAAACCACTTGGCCACGGAGGTTGTCAAAACAAAACAATACACAAAGGAATGCATAAAACTTCAATACAATGCATGAAATTTTATTCATTTTGTACTTTGCCTAGGTATTCTATACCATACCGAATTGGCAGTCGGCAATGGGACTTTTCTTTGTTATAATTATCTATGTTATCTATCAGGTGTCTAGCGCATCGCCGGCCGATGCCGCGGTACTCTTGCTTTACTTGCTCGGCTCGCACTAAGTTTAGATCACAACACAAATTTAACCAAACCCACTGTGAGTTGGTCAAACGTTCATCGGTCTTTTTTTCATACGGAGAGAATTATTAAATACGCCTGACATTTTATATCCAACTGGGTAGCCTAGGTTAGGTTTGGTTAAGATAAATACGAATCTGTTTATTTTACACATTGCCGGTGGGCCAGCTGGTACTCTATAGAATCCCTAGGAATTGTATATGTTCCCGGCCAAACCCGATTTCAGGACAAACTATTTTTGTCTAGGCTAAACTAGTTCTTCCGATACGCGATAGGATTAACTAGTTTAGCCTAGGCAAAACTAATTTGTCCTAAGCCCGATAGGATAAACCACTTTAGCCTAGGCCAAACTAGTTGATCTTGATATATATACGCACACTCTAGGATAAACTAGTACGGCCTAGTCTAAACCAATTTAGCAGAGTCGAAAGTAATTGAACAAACATGTCAGGACTGGTACAGGACGCGTCATGTAAAAAGAACGCTAGAAGAAAGTGGAGGGAGTGTGTTTGTGCATAGACTCGCACACTAAAGTAATAGACCTTTTGTGTTGTGAGATGCAGCTGCAACAAAAACTGTTTCACAAACAGATGCCAATGATGGCAATGATACTCTGCAATTCAAGAAGGCAAGAAGGCAATGACACTCCACAATTGTAAGTGCCACCAAAGCACACCATGTAAAAATAAATAACAATTTTAATAATTGAGATATGATTATTATTGCTTATATTAAAAAAACACATATTATTTGTTATAGATGATTGTTTGTATTACTAATTATCCATAACTTTTAACGATGAATCATTATCGTTTTAATAAAAATTATCATTTTTTCAATTACGGAGTATTTTATTCAGTTTATCTATTTATTTTGACTTTCTAGATATACTATAATGTTTAGACTAGGCCATACTAGTGTATCCTAGAGTATGCGTATTTATATCAGGATTAACTAGTTTGGCCTAGGCTAAACTGGTTTATCCTATCGGGCTTAGGACAAATTAGTTTGGACTAGGCTATACTAGTTAATCCTGTCGTGTATAGGAAGAACTAGTTTAGCCTAGGCAAAACAAGTTTGTCCTGAAATCGGGTTTGGCCGTTAACATATACATTGCCTAGGCAAAGTATAAAATAGTAAATAATATTAATAATATTTCATACATAGCCTAGACGCCCCAGACATTCTATAAATTTCCTAGGTATTCTATAGAATATCTAAACTATACAGATTTCTGGTAACAGAGATAATGGTACTGTACCCTTCGTGCGTGAATCCAACTCGTTCGGGAGGTTTTTTGTTAACCTATCTTTATGAAGGTAGATGTGACTAGATTATAGTCGCGAAGATGCCAGATACTGAAGAGATAGATATGTGCCGCAATAGCTATTCTTACCATCCGATTCCGTCGGCCTTAGCACGTCTTAGAGTACCTCGACGAAGAAATCACCCGTGACAGCGCGCCTCCGACTCCTCTTACACAGGCCACAAACACCAACACACAGCTAGCATACTTGCACACTAGCTTAGCATTAGGCAGACACCGCACTCGTAGGATAAGAGTGCGAAGACCCGGTCTACACACGTCACGCTATACCAGGTACAGGTACGTACCTGGGCGTTATTCCCGCCCCCCACGACAACGGCTAACTAAAGCCGAGGTCCGAGTCTCAGAGACGTCATTTAGTTGAGGCGACCTCCTCAGGTTCGAGCGGTCTAGAGGCTCCAGATGGGGAGGAGAATTCCCCCGTGGGGAGATGTCATCCGCCTGGAATACCTCTAGAGGCATTCGCTAATTCTCGGCTTGAGGTCCCCTTAGGATCTCGCCGTCCCCAAACCCGGTGACGCTGTAAAGGTCATCTGCGACCAACAGCATACACACTCAATAAAATAAATATTCTTATCTTTCTGACCTGTTCCCAATCCCTTACGTCGTGGATTCTTGAAAAGCTTACTCACGCACAGAACATGATTATTACCAAAATGTAGTGGTATTTCATTGGGGTTTTCTTTGATAGACCTTATAAAGTGCAGGTCATTTCCCCAGACGGACCGTCCAATTTGGTTTAGCCTAGGTGCACATGAACGCTGTTTTCAATCAGTTTCCTAAACAGGAATCACAATTCGGAAAACTGAATACACGTCCTTACATACAATATGTTCAACGAGGTGCACACTGTTCTGTTTTTTTCAGAATCGAAAAAACCTACCTTTCCGTTTGGACTCTAACTGCGCTAAGCTAAAGTTATTCCGGATCGGAATTCCGGATCAGGAAACCGAATCAGGAAACCGTACGTGTACGCCCAGTCTTAAAGCGCATTTTTTAGCTTGTCAATTATTCCTGACGTTTAGAATTTTACGAGCTCCGTAGTCAGAAGACTAACTTAATCAAAAAATGTTTCATTAAATATATTGTGGTAGCCTATTTTTTATAAACCTTACAGCTCTCAAACCTGGAAGATACTTTACCGGTCGAGCGCTCCAATTAAAGCGAGAAATCGGCTTTCCCCTACTCTTTGTAAATAAATCCTTCATGTTCCACTAACCTTCCAACGGCTAGGGTGATAATAATAAATAATAAGAAATAAATAAATATTTTCAACACTCACACCAATTAGCCTAGCCCCAAAGTAAGCACTGTATGGCTTATGTTATGGGATACTAGGGTAACGGATAGAATACATATACTGTATATATATAAGTATATTTATATAGAAATACATATTAAACATCCATAACTGGAGTACAAATTCTCGTATTCACCACACAAACATCTGCCCCCACCGGGATTGGAACCCGGGACCTCTCGAGTCGGCGAAACTATGAAACCCGGCGTACAAACCACTCGCCCACGGAGGTCGTCATGATATGAATACTATTCCACAAAGTTCAAAAAAAAAATTAAACTCGGCCCTGTGGTATACGTCAAAACTATTATAAAGCTCTTTTAGTATTCAGGAAATGATTTATAGTCCATAATAAGCATATAAGGAAAATTCCTTATATGCTTATTTCTGTACGGTCTTACGTTGATACAAATAATGCACTGTATTCCATTTCACTCCGTTACGTTTATAAATAAAAATATATTCGTAAAAAGAAATTGCTTCACGTAATACGCATAATGTCGCGCACGGTAATGCGATAATACTTGGTAATATTTCGCGCTTCCTTATTAACCGTTAAAAAATTAATCATAATCTTGGTAAAAAGCCTACACGACATTAACCCCATCGCGGCGAGCGTATATAAGGCAGGGCTTCTATAGAGGGCCGAGTAGACACCTGTGCAGAGCTGGCCGCGCTGGTTGGATGTTCGAACGCACTGAATGTGAGTTATGTTCTATTTTTGAAATATGTACATAGTTTTTTTCTTTTGTTTTATCAAGTTTATGGCCAGTTCAGAATTGGTGTTTTGGACTTTGCAAATTTAAAAACTCTTCTGATAACCAAGTGAAAACTTTTGGAAGTTTTTAAAACATTCGAAAAAGTTTATTATGTGTCATAAAAATTAATTCCTTTTTCTTTTTTTTGTTGTTTCAATTGTGTTAATATATTATAAACATGTGAAAGTATTTATTAGGTATTGTATAACCAATCATATAAACTAAATAAATTGATTGTTCTAGGATATTTTAGTACGTATTTATAATTAAATTTACAAATATGAAATACAATCACGATTTATCATTAAATTTTTATAATGTTCAACTAAACTTAGATTATACCTACAGAAAATGACAACAGTTCAATATCTATTTGATATTATTACATGGGCTAAATCCAGTTTTCACTAAATCAAGGTTTAACTTAAGTGGTCCTTAATCATTTAAAAATAACTGAATCATTGTAATATCATGCAGAGCATTCTAAATAATTACTTTGCACGTACATCTTTTCTTATTATGACAAATATGTAATTATATTTAACAACATCGTTGGTTCCCTATTTACAGTATTTTAACTGAAAACAAACAATACATTATTCATAATACCTATGAAATAAAGAACTCCTATGGAAAATTCTTATGGCCATTTGTTATGGGACTTTCCGTAATTGCACTGCTAAGGCGCGCCCTATGATTAAGTTTTAAAGTGCTAATAAAATTTCAATCTTCGTTTTTTAAAAGTATATTTACTACTGAAACTTTAAAAAAACAACACTAATATTTTTATTTCAGATGTCTTGATAACAAATCTAAATCAAATATTATTAAAACTTATTTTTAAAAGTTTGCACATAAATGTTTTCACATAACAATTAGGAGTTAAGACTGCATCAAACTATGAATTACGCAAAATACAAATTACGTAAGGATTCATAGCATTCCAATACCAAATCTTAATATTAGATTATTAGCCTAACGATTTAAAACTTTTGTCAGTTGTGTCGCTGTCGTAATTTTCTGCTAAATAAATAAAATCAATAGTTTTTTTTTCATTCGACCCGAACTCGAGCAAGATTTGACCTGAGTATGCATACAAACATTACAAGTTAGAAAAATCTTTTTGAATGGTCGGTTTGGTAAGCGGGTTATTATTTCGTGCGCACTCAGAGCGAAAGGGCCATAAGCCACATAGGCGCCACCAATGCCCGGTGTGGATTGGAAGGTATGCCATAGATTACGCCTGCAACGCCCATGGCCAATGGCTTAGGATGCTTTCTGAAGCCTGCAGCAGCTTAAGGTAAAAACATTTAGTCACCCACCCAAAAATTGTCCAATTCAATTCAATTTATTGCACTCATGTTATTACATAGATGGTTACAAAACGCATAAAGTACCTTACATGAACCCTGTCAGAGTATCGCAGTACATGGTGTCTAAAAGATAAAAATTACAAAAGATTTTTTTTTTTATTTATTTATTTAATAATTTAGTACACACACAATAAAACAGATAAGAACAGGAACAAGAAATTTGTACAAGGGCACTGTTTATTTCATATTGAAATTTCTTTCAGCAGGCCCGCGAAAGGAAAAAACATAAAAAAAGGGTCGTTAGTGTGTGCCTCCTGAATATAAATAACAAAATACAATACTTACATAAACAAAACCTACAGATATATCTACATAGATATACAAATAAACATATATAATCATCATCATCATCATCAGCCTATTAATGTCCCCACTGCTGGGGCACAGGCCTTCCCTATGGATGGAATAGGGAGATTGGGCCATGACCCACCACGCGGGCCCAGTGTGGATTGATACTAACGACTGCAGATGCAGCCGGGACCAACGGCTTAACGTGCCTCCGAAGCACGGAGGAACTCGAGATCGAAGATTTTTGGTCACCCATCCAATGACCGACCACTGCGAAAGTTGCTTCACTTCAACGATCGTAGCCACCTGCGCCATCGTTTTGTATAGCAAGCTTCTATTAGGCACGTTAAGCCGTTGGTCCCGGCTGCAGCTGCAGTCGTTAGCACCCGCCACGCCGCACTGGGCCCGCTTAGTGAGTAATGGCGCAATCTCCCTGTTCCGTCCAAAGGGACGGCCTGTGCCCCAGCAGTGACACATTTAATAGGCTACATTAATAGGCTGATGATGATGATGATGAAGCGTCTATTATTGGTTATGGTGACCGCTTACCATCAGAGGGCCCATATGCTTATTTGCCTCCATTGTGACCTCCGTGGCCGAGTGGTTCCTACGCCGGGTTTCATGGTGTCGCCTACTCGAGAAGTCCCGGGTTCGAATCCCGGTGGGGGATGTTTGTTAGATGAATATGAGCATTTGTACTCCAGTCATGGATGTTTAATATGTAATTCTGTATATATACTTATATGTGTACGGTATATGTATTCTATCCGTTACCCTAGTATCCCATAACACAAGTCTTACAATGCTTACTTTGGGGCTAGGCTAATTGGTGTGAGTGTTGGAAATATTTATTTATTTATTATTTTATGAAATGAAAATAGAAAATAATGGTATTTATGTTGTCAGTTTGTTTAATCAAAACATCAAAACGTGTCCTTATAAATGATATGTTCAAACTTTTCACGACATAAGACATCAACGAAATATCAGGACAAGCGGAAGAGTTTCTCTACAATATTTTAACTAGGCACAATTCTTAGTTTTGGGTTTTCTTATCTACCTATCTATTTGTACTTTCGATACTCCGTCAATACAATGTCGTATCGATGTCATTTCGAATCAATCGTTGGCATACAGCTGCGGTGCTATTTTGTAAAATTTTCACGCGCGGATCCGATGTGGATCCGCGCAGTTCCGATACAATAGGGGTGATGACGGGGTACAGTAAACGAAATTCTATTTAGTCCGTCAGTTAGATGATCAAAAAATAATGGACACGTATTTTCTTTGGGCAATCGACCAAAAAATGACAAAGTTATAGCGCGTCAAAGTTTGGGAGTAGGGGCTCGTGACGTCACTTTTTAGTGAATTTTCACATAAAGGTGTACCAAAACGTGACGTCATGCGACTTTTCAAATCAATATATCTCTACAATGTTTATATTATGTGAAAAAAGAAAAAATACGTGTCCAATACTTTTTGATAATCTACCTGCTAAACGAAGAAAAAAAAATAGTCATCATCCCTTTTCCGCGCTGATCCACATCGGGTCCGCGCGTGAAAATTTTACAGAGTAACACAGCTGGCAACCAATGTCAGATCACAGGGGGATCATAAAAACGAGAAGTGTCCTCAACGTACAGTTTCCACATAATTTCTAGCAACGACAAGTCGAATTAAAAGAGTTTGAGATCTCTTTCTTGTTCTTGGGCTGTTTTTTTATGATCATTACTATCAAGAAAAGCAAGGAAGACTTTTTTTGTTATGCGATATTGGTATGTTTTTTCTAATTTTGTTCAAAAATATTATTGTTGAAATAGCTCGGTCTCGAAATGATGTCTTTTGGGAAGCTACTGTAAAAGAAAACACGGTACATACAGTAACAGATGTTTTCACGGAAAATGAAAACTTATAATAGTTGCTCGGTACACTGAAGCAAAGCGCGGGTCTATCACAAGACATCGATAAATATTTATGAAGTTAATATTATTTAATCACCGCAGTTTAAATAAATGTTTACTTTTTAATATAAGTAATATTTATAAACATAATGTCCCAAGATTTCAAATCTTAAAACTAAATCAACAATTTCATCATCTAAATTTGGCTATAGATAATCTTTGGTTAGATATTGGTGTCGATTCTGGCATGATTTTCTAAATCTAAACTTAAATTTGGCAACAGTGTATCCTTGTTATTTTCTATACAGAATGAAAAGGAGAGACTGATGTTAAATTTAGTTTTAAGTTTAGAGAATCACGCTAGAATCGACACCATTGTAATAATAATATTAAACAATGTCATAATTGCCATTCAAAGGATAGGGTTCAGATCAAAGTTTCAGATTTATTTATTAATGAAATATCTCGGTTCCGGTTTGATAAAAAGCCTCTAACAATAGCTTTAAATACTAACTTTATGGTTAAGAAATAATTTTGTTCAAATAAGTCACGAATACATAAATCGGAAAGAATGTGTGAGACAGTGATGAAAGATTTCATAAAGGATTAGGCACTTTGGGCTTCATATAATATACTAAGTCGTTTTACTTTGCTATTTGGTTGAAAATTGTTGAATCGCCATTTTAAATTTAGAAATAGTTCCTAGCTATACTTAACTTATTGTTAATTAATAATAGGTATAGTATTAATGTGATGAAAGCTGACATAAACAGATGTTTTGCAGTTTTTGATGTCATCTTTCAATTATATTGATGTCACTGCTGCATGCTAGTATACTTCCGCTCAAAGTGACATTACATTGTATCGTTTGACGTTTTAATGACAGTCGTGTGACGTCACACACTAGTGAGATGCCATAATGACCAGAGAAACGTTTACACGGCAACTTATTTTTTTTTTAATTTTTTTTTAACTGAATCACACAACAAAATTTAAAATATCCACATCTTTTTATGGACTCCATAAACATTATAGTAAATAACATGAGATCGTTTTCTAAAACTTATCAAATACCCTTTTGCAATAGTTTGCAATACATTGTAGGCCAAAGCACGATTTTGTCATCATAAAATTTTATATGGAAAGTGACAGTTTTTGCTTACGTCCTGTAAGGGCGCTGCTTAAATTCCATAGAAACTTTAACGATGCGATACGATTACAGAGCTGTCAAAGTTTGTGCTTGACCTCTGTTCACTATGAGTCAATTAGATAGGGCAAGGTTGCCTCCCCTTATGTTATTCGGTCCCCCTCCGTTTCGAGTGGTCTAGAGGCTCCAGACGGGGAGATGCCATCCACCTGGAATACCTCTAGAGGCACTCGCCA